CCCGGCCGGATACCCCAAACCTCCGCCGGAGGGGCGCAGGGGGCCTTTTCCAGGAGCAGCTGTTGTGCTCGCGCTCGCTCTGCCTCTCTTCTCTCTCTGGCTCGTTCTCTCGGAGCCTCGCTTTGTCGCTGGCCTGCTCCCTCGCCTCCGGCGCCTCGTCTCCCGGGCAGCCGGCACAGAATCCGGGCGACCGCGCGCGCACGGGCCAGCGCGCAACTGACATCGGCGCGCCGGGCGCGGGGGCGAGGGGGGGGGTTCCGAAGCCGCCGGCGCGACAAAACAACGGGCAGCGAAGACCCGGAGCGGACCGCACCCGGGGCCGCGGCCGCCACCACCGCCGTAGGCCCCCGCTCCCCCCGCCCCCCGGCATATTGGACGGCGCGTCTGGCCGGGGCCAGGCGGACGCGCCGGCGGTGAGTCAGCCCAGGGTGCGCGAGGCAGCCACGGCGGCCGGGCCGGGTGCCATTGTCCATGGGCCGGCCCGGCGGGGCGAAGACCGCGTCAGGCAGGTGCCGCCACCGCGGCACGGGCATGGCGCGCCGGCGCGGTGCGCACACCCGCGCCCAGCGGAGCGCCCCGGCACAAGGGAGCATGCCCGCCGAGGCAGCGCGCGGCGGGCATGCTCGTACGGCCCGGCCCGGCCCGGCCCGGCCCGGCCGGCGGGGCATCGACTCTCGCCGGCCCCGGACCCGGGCATGGGCTGCTGCCTCGAGTCCGGTCCCCGGTATTCCATTCCTGCATACCCGAGGGCATACCACAAAGGAATTACGCCCGCCCTGGCCCGCCCCAGGGTGGAATGCCCTCCCGATGATGGCCGGGCGTGTGTAGTACCTCTCTGTGTGTGTGTGTGTGTGTGTGCCCGTGCTGTCGACCTGGGGCGCCGTCCCCCCCCCCCCCCCCCGCGCCACCGCGCCCCGGGGTCCTTGCCGTGGAAAGGCCGGCGGGGGAGGGAGGGGGAGCTTTGTGGTGCCACCACAGCACCCCGGCCGTTGCTGGCTGGCCGGACAAAAGCGACCCATTTAATAAAGCGACACATATACAGGCCAACATGGATCCCCTCTCGCATCCCGCGCACCCTGTGCCCGTGTTGGCTTTTTCCCTTTGTTTGGGCCAGAGCCCGGTGGGGTGTCTCCCCCTTCCTGCGACGACCGCGCCAGGACGCCGGGGCGGCCTGCCCCCTCCCCGGTGTGGCTCCTGCCGCGCGCCGGCTCACGCGCCCTGCATATGTGGGGCGCGTGCGCGCGCGGGCCCGTGCGTCGCGCGCGGGCCCGTGCGATTGCCTGCCCGACCGGAAGAATGCCCCCTCCCCCTGGTGCGGTGCAATACACTGGCCTGGCCCGGCCCGGCGCGCCTCTGCCAGGCCGTCCGCCCCCGGCCAGCAGGTCCAGTGGCCAAGATGAGGGGCCAGCATTCCTCGCCGGCCTCTCCGCTGTGCCGGTCGCCAGACAGGCCCCCATGGGCGGGGCACCCTGTGTGTGTTGTCCACCGCCGCCGCCGCCGCCGTCGCCGCCATCGGGCTGCAAGGGTTCCCCGAAAGTGCCGCCCGGCTCCAGGGCAGTCGCCGCCCACCCAGGAGGGATGCCCCCGGGTCGGCGGCGCTCTGTCCCCCCCCCCCCCCC